ATATGCCCTTCAAATATTATTATGTGTGTCAAAGATTAACCTAATTGAAAATTTATAACTATCTCATCAATAGTATCACATTTTGACTCAGTGTTTTGTTCTGATAATTACAAAGAGAAAATTCGATTACCTTAATATTTGGCATGGATGATGATATGATAAAGGTATAAATGATCCAACCTTTACAATAATAAAAGATAAATTACACTAATAAAATTTATTAAAGAATATAAAAATAAATACTTTTTCCACCAAGTTCCCTCTGTTATAATATTTTTTCAACCACTCTTTATTATATAATATCGGTGCATCAGATTTCATACGTTTATTTTTTTCTCATCATGTTTTTAGCAATGAGAATTAAACTAAAACTTGAACGTTTTCAAATTTAACATAAATAATATGAGACATAACACCATAACTTGAATAAGGTTTTTATATATTTATTTTATTTTTTTATTAAAGATTCACGTAAAGAGAGTAATCATTAATTGTAGAACAAAGAAATACTTCTATGCATAGGCCATTTAAGGGAGAAAGGATCCGATTCTATGAGCAAACTCGGTATACGTAATAGGTTCAAAATAAATATATTTATTATTGAAAAATAATATAAATAATCAAGTACCTCGTAGTCTAGTGATTTTACGTGACAATACAATTGACCCGATGGGGGACATAAATATTTAAGAATTTTTATTTCTTTTCTTTTAAAAATTAAAGAAAAATCCTTTTCAAACTTTATTTATTGAAGTCTCAAGACTCTCTACCCTCTTCCAAAACCAAGCATTACTCTTTATTATTTCTTTGTTTGTGTAATGATTAAAACTTTTTTCTTCTCTATTTTACAAAGTGTAAATGCATGGTTAAAACTTGAAAAATGGTTACTTTGTACAAATTGGAGTTGGATAATGATTTTCTGTATTCATTAAGGCTCGTTTGTTTGGACATAAAATATTTTTTAGAAAATATTTTTTTATTTTCTGATATTTGATTGTCGTAAAATATTTACGAAGAAAAAAATATTAAAATTTAACAAAAATAATTTATTCATAAATTTTTGACAAATTATTTTATATGTCCCTCCCGATGGACTTGACCTCAATCTCGACGTAGACCTTTGCCAAATACTGATAAAATAAAATTAAAAAAATATTTTACCTGAAAAATAAAAATATTTTTAAAAAAAATTATTTTACATCAAAACAAACATAACCTAAAAGTAAATTAGAAAACCTCTCATACCCTGACTAAACACTGCAATTTGATCACTTGGTAATACCCATTTAAACAAACAAGGAATTTCATTGTTTTTTTTTTTTTTTTTTTTCATTTAATAAAAAAATAGAAAATTATAGTACTAGTAGATATGTTAATGTAGATATTTTAACAAAAATAAAAGTGAAATGTTAATGCAGTATAGTACTAGTGGGCAGCAAAACAAGTGTGAAGAAGGGGACTGCACGTGACTTTGCCTCGAAATTCGCAGACAATAAATGAGCTGCTGACATCTCTCACCCTTCCCTTTGCATTAATCTATTACCGCGCCGTCTATTCACTGACACGTGTACTTACCCATGTGCTCCTGACGTGGCCCCCCCGCTGGATGGGTGTTGGAGACTTGGTCCTCTACAATTTTGATAAAATGACCAAAATGGACACAAAGGACCACCAAATTACCAATCTCCTCTACGTACACAGTAAAATACAGCAAGAGAATGTGCATTCAAGATGAACTGAATCTTCCTATGTCACATTTTACTGACTGTTTTTTTTTTTTTTTTAACTGTCATGAATATTGAAAGGCTTTTTTTTTTTTTTACTCAATTCTTACTGCTTATGTACTTGATTAACATATACGTGAATCTGTCCTTTTGCGACCTGTTTGGCTCAGAAATTGATTTATGTGGACAACCTTTTAAATCTAGAACTAGAGAATTGGTGGAGGGGAAATAAAGAAAAAACAGGTGAAAAATATGTTCCGTACACAATAAAAAGAGCCTGAAATGAGAAATTCTAATCACTTCCATTGAGTGATAGAATGAGTTAGCAATTTAAGGGACTTCATAGCGTTAAAAAAAAGTTGAATTCGATTTATAACCCCATCTAACTAATGATTGAAATTTTAAGCAGTTTATGATTTTGGTGAACATACAACAATAAAGTGTGAAAATATATATATATATATATATATATTTTAGAAAATAAAATATTTCTCTATTTTTCTAATGTTTCAAGTACAATAAAAATTCAAAAATCAAAATTAGAATTGTGATCAATGTTCTGTTTGTGGGTTGCTTCATGTATATAGTAAAGTTACATGCATTTCTTAACAAAATGAATGCTTTGAGTCTACTAGAAAACAGTAACACAAAAGCCCCATATTGAGGGTTTAGGTATGGAAACATATGGCACAAAACACACTTGGAATGCATGTTATGACCACTTAAATAAGACATGTTAAATTCAAATTATATAATATTTGAAGAACTCCAAGTGGATCATACCTTTTGACTACATGAAACCAATCATATGTGGAAAAAAACACTTAAGCTGTACTTTATCCCACAATTGTTTTGTTTGGAAATAGATTAATTGATTATTCTAATATATTGAAACACAAATATCTGCACCATTATGGCTTTATCATGAATTAATTAGTATTAAATGATTAATTACATTCCAAAGGTTTAATATAATTATAAAGTTAGTCGAACATTAAGGTCTCCGAAGAGGAAATTATTAGTTTAAGAAGAAATAAATGATATGAAGGAATGATTAATGAAAAGATTAGTGTAAAAGTGAATAATGATTAAGAGAATAAAAAGTTCAAACATGAGACAAGTCCAGCTTAGCAACTACTACACATCACAATGGCCAAGTCATCCATCACTGAGATATTTGAGTGGGCGGGCGTGATTCTCAAGCTCTGTCTTCAAAAGAGACAATCCTTCAATCTCATTAATGGTGATTAAATTAGGGCTTATGTAGACCAGATTTTCAGGGTGGTCGCCACTCGTGTGCACGACTACTTTAGCGGGATTAAATTAGAATTCAACTTCCGCGATAGGGTTCGCACGTGCTGTTATTAAATCGAAAAAATCAGTGCAAATGATACTTTATGATAAATTAAGGAAATAAACTAATTTTGAATAAATACTCCAAATACAATGGTGTTGGACAAAAGAAGACATGGGTCACAGTGTCCCATACAAAAAAAGCTATATAATTAAAAGAAGATAACAAGTTACAACTAAGCTTCATTTGCTTTTGCTTTCTTTCTTTATATGGGGAACAAGAACATATTAAAACCTTCTTGACTCCTTCCAATCCGGTGGTCAAGTTCTCAATTAGTACTTCAAACTGCTACCTCTGGCATTTATGCTTTTCATATACTTGTGCTACCATCTACATTAATTGAACCTGTTTTTATTCAAATATAAAAAAAGAAAAGGCTTTCATATATATATATATATATATTGATATTGTGAAATTTTTTATTTTATTTTATTTTAAATGGTCGAATACACATAATAATGAGTCAGCTAGTGGTTAGAGGCGGAAGGAAGAATTTAAGGTTTGAACACGCACTTTAGACACGCGAAGCAATCCAATCATTCGAACATAATATACGAGTCGCAACATGGTACAATATGATAATTTATTTGTTTTGTTTTATTGAACAAACAACTTTCGCAACATTAAGACTAAATCATCTATTTTTCAAAAAAAGAAAAGAGTTATCATTGAACATTGAGTATGCAATCTGAATTTAACATGAAAATTTTGGACGAATATAGAGATTCATGCAATCTATTAAGTGACTATGTTGAATTAAGTTATTTGAAATGGTAAATGTAAATGTTTATTCATGAAATGTAAAAAACATTAGTTAATTATTTATGGTATAAGATTTGGTGGAAAGTGGTCATAAGTTTTGATTAGTATTGTGGTCAACAAGATGTTCTGGAATGCTGCAACTTTTCAATGCCTTAAAAGACTGTAGCTCTAGTGGGACGCTGATATCCGTACTTTATGGCCTTGGCATTGGAGTCATGTTAAAATCATAGAGCAGACCTACTACCATTACTAGATTTTGTAGCTCTACACTTTTTTTCATGGAAATCGGCAGTGTTTGTAAAATGCATCACGTTGTAAATGTTTTGTCTCAACTGTTCATTCAAAAGCTTGTTGGTACAATCTGAGAATGCGTGACTGAAAATTGGAGCTGTGCTGAAACTGTGCTCTATAGATCCAACTTATGTTTAAAGTAGATTTTACTACATTTTAAAAAGAGCAGTGATAAGGGCGGTTAAGGTGGGTTATACGATGTCACCATGATGATTGGTTGAAAACCAATTAGAGGGTTTAATACAATAACAATATTTTGATGAGTTACAAATCAATCACAAGAGTTTGTAGTTTTCACAAGAGTGACTATAGGGAGTTTGTAGTTTTCACAAGAGTGACTATAGGTAGCAGACCATACATTACCGTGACCATTGTGAGTCTTATCCCTGCATGCCTCTATTGGGTTAGGCCGACTCAGCCTAAATAGCTAAACTCGTTTCATAATTGTCAAGAACACAACTGAAGCCTTTTGTTCTCTCGAATAGCAGAAACATTGTAAAACATTTTTAATTTTTTACATATTCTTTTAACTTACAAAATGAAACTAGTAACGATGCAATAACATGTACCGTGAGAGGCATAACTGGCAGATCCATTTTCCTTCTTGAGTGTCTCATGTTAAAAGTTTTAACCACGGACAGTCGTGAACAAAGATGACAGGACAACTGAACACAAGACATAAAAACAAATCCAATGTATCAATTCAATAAAATCCGGAGTTCAAATAACAATTGATATACTAAACCAAATGTCAAACCTCAAAAGAGAACTACAAATCAACTGCAGAACATACAAACCAAAACGGATGAAATGAACACTCTAGAATTAACCCTTTACCAAAACAAATGAAACAGCGGGTAAAGAGAGAATAATAATAAAAGAGCAATTTGCCTTTCTCTTCACAAAGAACCACCGTGGGGTCCTATTTGTATGAATTTCAGTACAATCATATTACAGATGCCAAAGGTTTCCAGATAAAGGTTGATATTTCTTATTGTGATATTACTTTTTTGCTTATTGACTATCATGTTACAACCACCAGAGCCTATCAGCCTGGGATTGTAGTTGTTGACCTTCAAATATCTGGAAGCATACTTCATAATAGGAGACAATTTCCATACAAACATACAGATTCAAAACATTTCGCTTTTGGTCTTTCTTAAGACAGATATCACACTTCTTCAATCATACATTTTATAGATAACAGACCAAAATCACAATTAAAGAAGCCCTCCCGTCACACATGGCATCACACTAACCCATGGCATACTTCTGGGTCCAGCTCCTGGCAGTTGTCTCGTACTTGCTCCTGTCTGTCTTGTACATGTGAGCGATCTCTGGCACTAGAGGGTCATCAGGATTTGGGTCCGTTAACAGAGAACAGATAGACAGCAACACCTGAAATTGAATAAGAACTTATAACCCATGCTTAAACACCATATGCATAATAAAGCATGAAACTTCTTAAATCAAAATGGCATAAAATTTCTGCTACATAACCATATTATTTTGTTTCAAATGGGGCTAAAACTTCTTTGGCTTTCCTTGTATTTAAATCACTGCATGCATGGGTATTTCTAAAAATTTTTAGGACATAAGAACGCTTTAGTCCCGATATAGAAAACTTACACTATAAAAAGGATTGTCAATCACCTCCCCACCCACAACAAAAACAAAACAAAAAAAATAAACAGATAAGGATCCACGACATCCGCTCCATGGTGATGGCAACTCTCACATACTAAAATATAGTTCAGCCACACAGCCACTATGCCAATATGGGAGGGGAGGAGGAGATATCACTTGGGATAAAGGCTTGGTGCTAAAAATCTAATTTTTAGTAGCTCAATAGCCTAAAGGGGTGCCACTGGACAATCACACAGCTTACTATTTAAACATATTTTCAGTAGAATTTCCAAATGGTTATTTGTGTTGAAAGAAATGATAACCTTGGAAATAGTAAGGGCAGGGCTCCATTGTTCCTTCAATATATCAAGGCAAATACTCCCATTGCTGTTGATATTGGGGTGAAAGACCTTCGTTCTGAAAGCAACCTGCAGAAACAATTCAAGTATAAAAAAAATGAGGAAAATGGGAAAACCATCTAAAAAGAATTTCATAAATTTCTTACCCAACACAAAAGCATAAGAAAACTTCTCACGATTTTAAGCATTTTTAGGGAATACCAAAGTGCCAAATAACATAGGATTTAGTGTAAAAGAGTTCCACTAATCCACAACCAAATTTCCCAGGTTAGGAGGAAGACACTGGTTGCAAAAGACATTTCTCATGATAAAAGTATTGTGAGATGGCATGTAGATCAAACTGCCACAGCAAACGTGTGTATGATACAAAGAGGAAAACATTTCTAGGAAACACAAATGATGGTGATGACATGTTGGAGACGTTAGCGCACACACAAGCAAGGGGATAAATTAAGAATTTTAAATAAATAGTAGCCATAAACAAGAGTGTGCTACATGCAACACAATCTTAAAACCTCCAGCATACACTTGTAGTTGTTTCCACCGTATGGTATGTCACTATATGGTAACGTAATGATATCAATGGAAATATGATTACTTATCAAAAAAAATTTAAAAAAAATTAGAAAAATAACACATGATCTACTCTCATAGGCCTTCAAGTCAGTCACAGGAAAGCCACGTGGCACTAGATCACCTGTTCCCTACGAAGTTAATCTCCTAAGCTGTACTATTTGGAGTGGAGGAAACTATTTGGTGTGGTATTACCTGGTCGTGCCTTCTCATGCCCAGAGCTCTACAGAGTGGAGGAAACTAGAAAAAAAAAAACACCCTACACATTAGTTAACACTTACACAAAGGCAGAGGAAGGCCCCAAGAATGATTTCTTGGGGAGAGGACCGGTGCTTGTGAGAGGCATGTGCCATGAGATCGGGGTTTGAAAGCCCAGAGATCCTTGTACCATCAGCTAGAATTGGGGACAAGCTAACGTGCCTCCTTCCTCTGGAGCATGCTTGGATAGGGTTGCAAACGAACCGAGCTGTTCATGAACTACTCAAGCTCAGCTCGATAAGAGATAGGTCCGTGTTCGTTTGTTTACCAAACTAACCGAGCTCAAATGAAAATATTGGACTCGTTTATTATAAGAGCCAAGCTCAAACATCTCCAACAGGCTCATTTGAGTGTACGTTCAGCTCGTAAAAAATATATATGTATGTGTATATATGTTGTGTAAAGATATGAGATATACTTGGCCCAAATATACAAAAAGCCCAATTAGTTATTTAATCACCATAAACTTTTATTAGGCCCAATCCAACCTAACCCAACCCAAATAATTGCTCTCCTTTAAAAACCCAACACCTTTCACCCATGAAATATATACAACCCTAATCTGCGCATAACACCAATCACCCCCCCTTACAAGCCCAACCCTCACCAAAGTTCCAAACCAGATCACGAAAGTTCTGAAAGCTCTCAACTCCTCTTTGGCAGCAAGCTAGATAATTTTCATTGGCAACCACAATATCAACAATATTCCCCCCTCTTTTTAACAAAAAAAAAAAAAAAAACAATATTCCCTCTTTCTCACCTTATATATAAATCTCTGCATACACATGTATATGTGTGTAATTATACACGAGCTTCGAGCTGAGCTCGAGTTTTTATTGAACATAGCTGAGCCGAGTTCGAACACTTAGGTGAAAGCTCAAGTCAAGCTTGAGCACTTCTCCTTTAGACTGGGCCAAGCTTGAGCGTCCACTACTTGGCACGGCTCGGCTCGTTTGCAGCCCTGTGCTTGGACCAGTGGCAGCCCATATATTAGGCCTAAACTTGACAATTCATTCTTACATAGGCCCCCAGAAGAATGAAGCTAACGTTACTGCGAGGCCTGGGCTAACGAACTTTAATGCTCTGAACTCTGAACGAACCCTTCGACTGGAACTTGCAACTACTAATCCAAGCAACACCTTATTCAGGCTGCCTCCCTCGCATTAGAACTAGGTCAATGGATACTTCATTAGATGTGTCTACCTCCTAATGCAAAGAATATAACCCACCAACCAAGTCAATACTTTAAGTTATCAGTGATTTCCTTTCCTGCATAGTATGTGTACCCGGTACATTAATCATCGACTATTTGAGAATGACCACCGACTTACAAATTCTTTTATTCCATCTCATTTCAGAATGTGCTCTCCTTCTGGGTGGGACAAATTTCTCACGACTCATGAATCGGCAAGTTGAGAGTGAATGCATGCACTATTTGCAAATTCATTTCTTTGTGAATCCACATCCTGTACGAATTTTTCGTCCAGCACTTGGCTGATACCACATGTAGAGTACATGTGGATACACTAGATCCCACCAAAATTATTACGGTTGCCAAACATTCAATGCTTGTTTTGAAGACGCCATGAAACTTCCCAAAGAAGGTTCAAAACCATGACCTTACGAGACAAACAACCAAGGCCTACCACCAATCCACAATATATTCCTCATTACATCTGATGATGTTTATATATTTTATAGCAAAATGTTTGATATAAAAAGTAGCCAATCAACATTAAAAATAAAACCATAATTTGCATATAGAAATATGTAGGAGCCCCTTAATCTTTATTTTCAAATTTAGCCCGTGTTCTTGCCCCTGCTCATGCATTGGGCACTTCTTCACAAATTATCATGTACACAGAATATTGCATCCAACACCTTTCAGAAAAAAAATAAAATAACAAATAATTGCATCCAAGATAAAATGAGAGAAAATTAGTGGTTAAAGTAGAACCTATGGGAGAACAATGTGAAAATCGATTAAGATGGTTTGAACATGTGCAAAGAAGATCATTAAGTGCACTAATTAAGAATTTATATATAGCTCAAATCGTCAATATATAGACTTCAACATAATATATATATATATGTGTGTATTACCAATTTTTTTTGTTAGGTAAGCAACACGTGCGTGCACACTACACTGCCCCATGTGGAGCTCAAACTGCTCACCTCCTCTCCACTTGAGCCAATGGCCCGGCGGTACCAATTATTAACCTTAATGGTTCAACCAATCAATCCAGCCCAAGATTCCAAACATTGAAAGAAAAATAGACACTGCTCACTGAAGGCACTGATAATATTCTAAACAATCCGAGTATGAAGCACTCATAGATAGGGGTGGCAATTTAAGGCCAGATTGGCACAGATTTAACTGGTTGGCTCATGAGCTCTTTTAAAACATTGTGATCATTGTACAAGGCCACTTGCACAGCTGAGGTGGATGAATAAAGAGGCTTCTAAGTTACTTAGATTTTGAGAGATCAAAAAATGTCTGGGAACAATAGAAATAGAAGATTGAATGTGACTTCTCTCAAAACACACAAATGCAAATCAAGCGCGAACAACTTATAGAATTTGATAATTGATAGACTGCACAAGCAAGAAATTGGCATTTCTGCATATTTGTTCAGAGGATGCCCAAGAGCATCTTAGACGAGGAAACTGAAGCAATAAAAAAAGATCTCACCCACGTTTGACAAATATAAAATGGAGTTAATAGTACCTTTGGTGGCTTAAATGGATAATCTGGAGGGAAATGGATGGTAACTAGAAACACCCCACCCGCATAAGGACTGTCGGGAGGACCCATAATCGTTGCTTGCCAGTGAAACATGTCTTCAGCAACGGGGCCTAACAATTATACATAAGCAAAGATAAATGAATTGAATAAATTAATGTAACAATGATCTACAACACTAATTTCATACATTAACTAAAATGTGTTCATTTTTACTTCAAAAGTCTAGCCTAAATATTAAGAAACTCGGATCAAAGCCTCAAACTCAATCATGCACAAGGTATATATATATATATATATATTCTACCCAAATATATAATCACCAAATTCCGTACTAAATGTAAATGCTGCTCACGTTGAAGAGTTAGAAAAGACCAACGTTCACCTTCTACAACCAATCATGACTTATTATGTGCATAGATACTTGTCTTTTCAATAAGGTACAAATCATACAACTAACAACTTGATAAAAACACCAGAAAGCCAACTTGTATAAGTAGGAAAGAACCATATTGTTGAATTGTAAGTAATCTTTTATTATTAATTTTAGTGTGGTTTTTTTTTATTTTATTGAAAATAAAATTTTAGGGTTACTACTGCACTTCTAAAGAGTCAGAAATGCATATTGAACCTACTCTTGACATGAATGATTGAATTATTTTGCGAGCATGTACTCTTAGTCTCTCTATTCTCTAGATGTTCACCAAGCTGAAAGAGTTACATAAAACCACAAGAAGCTTAGATCTAGGAATTTATCCAAAAGATATGAATGTACCATGGTAACATTAGGAGTGGAAGTGAGGGAATAGTAATAGCCAAAAACCTTTTACAATTATGTTGAATTAAAAAAAATTTTATACGGAAGAAGATATCAAAAGGATATTTTCAACAAAACAAACATGAAAGATATGAACAAATAAAAGTGTTATGTAAGTTGTAACCAATTAAGTCAAATACACAATTTTATTAAACACTTGTACAGAGAGTTCTACAGCATGGTATACAATTCGAGACTATCAAGTACAAGAAAATAAAAAGGCTAAAGGAAAGAGGAGGGAGCCAATGAGAGCAGAATGATGGCCTACAATTTAATCATGGCTGGTCTGGTCGAAGTAATGACCGAATAAAATCAAAGTAAACAAGGAATGCGGGTGGAGGTTCCACTAGAGATGAGCAAATGTCTAGGACAGTCTGTCGAATAAGCCCTCATATTCAAGACAGGTATACTCACTACTTTATGCTAATTTTCGTAAATATATTGAGAGGTGTGAATGCTATATATATGCGCGTGTGATAGGAGTCATAAGACGAATACGTGAGGTATCAACCGACTTGATTGTGTCAACATTTGGTGTTAGACAATAGGAAGTTTGATGTCACCTAAGAATGGTGTTGGTAAAGACCAACTACTAAGCAAGTGACTAAACAACTTTGTTGTCATCATATTCCCAACCTAGGTAAATTTAAGGCATAAACTGTAAAAGGCTAATATAGACTCTCAATAGGATTTTGGGACACAACATAACAGCCCTCACCGTACCCGACACAATATTATTCGCTTTTGGTTCCCCCTGGACTAGACTTCCCAGGAGGTCACCCATCTTGTACTACTCCTAGGGTTCAATGGGCCGACACAAGGGTCAGCCGACTGAAAATTGCCCAGTTGGGCAGCAATCTGCTGGACTTTAGTGAGTCCACTTCATGACCATCAATGGACAATAATTAGGCTAATTTTACACTAAAGGATGATGTAGTCACGTTAATCACATTGGTTGACTGTTTTCCATGTTAGCTTCTGCGTTTCGGGACTTGGACTAGAGCCCGGTTTACCCCATCTCTTTCTGATGAACTGGATTCTTAGAATTCGGGGCATGAAAAACAGACAATAATATGGTACCATATGGAGCTGATTAGCACACAGAATTTCAATAGGATTGCGGATCAATTAAGTTGAGCAAAAAGTGCTCGCAGTGCTTTATCAAGAATAACTCGACAATTTAATTTCCAAGGGAAACTCAAATGCCCCCTCAGCAATTTGATCAATGTGTGAAAAAAAATTCAACACCCCCCACCCCACGCGTCTTAACAATGTTCCACCTACATAATAAATCATGCTAATATTCATGATTAATATTAAAGGAGAAATGCAATAGAAGTTGTCACTAGGTGAATCTCATTTTGATGGCACTGGGTCAAAAAATTTCAAGTCAAGGATTGGTTTAACATGCCAATATTCATGATTGATATTAAAGGAGAAATGCAATAGAAGTTACAGCTTTGGATCCAATTACACTAGGTGTATCTCATTTTGATGGCACTGGGTCAGAAAACTTCAAGTCAAGGATTGGTATAACAAACTACCAGAAAACCTAATTTAACCAAAACATACCTCAATTCTCAGATTAAAATGGAACAGAAAATTGAACAGTTTGCTACCTATGAACATGCATCAGACAAGGACAGTACATGCATAATTTTAAATGCACAAATACCTGCATGCATATAAAATACAAATCCTAAAATCCTGGGCCATAATAAAAAGAATTGTTGTTTCATGAAGAATCAAATATCAACTAAATCTCTGATAGAGTTCCAACATAACTGAAAAATCTCAAACGACTCCATCGTGCCATTAAGTTCTTGTGTTCAACACAAAATCCAAATCAATTTGTTCACAAAATCCGTATTACTCCATTAACACCTAAAATTATTAATTAAGCACAAGTTCATTTCCAGACAATTCATCATAACATCGAAAAATTGAACAAGACTAAGTAGAGGCCTCTTTCGTCGAACATACAAAACCCTAGGATCGATAAGACCGAGAGTTTGAGATCTAGAATAATGAGAGATCGTACCTGCGCTGCAAGAGGTAGGAGGATCCTTCTGAAGATCCTTGAGTTCTTTCAGGATCCGCTTCGAAGCCATAACGAAACCCTAGCTCACGAATCCTAGAATAAATCAGCTTGATATATAAATATATATGTATAGTGATATATATATATAGTGAGGAGTGCAAGTGCAGGGTAAAAAACATATACGGAGGATAGAGGGAGAGCTCACCTGAGAGATCAGATCCTCCTCTGGTCTGGTTATTAGTTTCCTGAGAAGAGAGAAATGAGGGTGTGTTTGGAAATGGATTTATATAGAATCAGCCAATTCTGGGTCACGAGAAGCACTTGATCGATTTGCTATTGGTCTATCCAACCGTTGGGCCCACTTGATAGAATAAATGACTTCTTGTTATTTTATACTCCTGAGACGCGTTGTTACCAGCTGACCCAAGATGCTCTCTATTGGCTTCCCCAGTCCTCCACGCTAGTCAGTGGTCATCCGGTCACCATGAGTTCTCTCTCATTTCATTTGACTACCCTACGGCCCACCAAAATTTTCACATTTCACAAAATTGAAATAAAATTAGTACGGAGTAACTTTTTTATAAAAATTATACATACATATATATGGTTAAATCTCTGAAAATAATGTGATTGATTGGTATTTATTCATTTACTTTTAGCAAGATCACTTGATATACTTTTAAAATTTTCACAATTCACTTGGTATTATTTGAACAAAATAATTAAGATTTGCTTGGTTTATAAATTTGAGATCAGTTCTTAAAAATTCAAAAACTAATTTATAAATAATTATAAAAAATAATTTTTTTTAAAGCATATTTTTTTACAACTGTATTTCTTGGTTAAACTTTTATACAATTTTTAAATTTTTTATTTTTAAAATTACAAATCAAAGAAGTCCTTATCATTTATCACTTTTCAGTTTCTTGAGTCACAATTCTGGCCATTTATCACTTTTCAGTTTCTCAAGTCACAATTCTTATTACCAAAAAAATATCAAATGCAAGTGCAATAGCGACAACGAGAAGATGTAGGAAAAGCCACTCATACCATATTATTGGTACGTTCAACCAGTTAAAATGCACAATTCAAGTCAATTACGGTTACTTGTAAAAACTGCCACCAACAAACCTGAATTATGCATTTGATTGGTTGGTTAGATGCCATCACAACGCAAAGTCACTGTTGAATCTATGGGCTTCACAGTAAAACTCACAAGATCCAGCTCCTAATGTTGTGAAATCGCGGCACATGAGATAGCTCCTCTTATCACGGCACCAAACCAATGGCCCAAGGGCGCCCACAAAGATTTGTGGTGTTTATTAATGTTACCGACAAAGTCATTATGCAAATATTTTATCTAAATTACACTGTGCATGTATTTATCTAAAATTTCAACATTTCCTTATAATTGGATCGTTATAATGGTAGCCACGATATGTAATGGGTGATGGACGCTTGTTTATTTACTTAAAAATTTAAGTTATTTGATAATTTTAAAAATTTAAATTATTAGATAATATTGCACACTCATCCATTTATATATAATTACTTTTTCATCTGGATTCGATGTGAAACAAATGACTCTTGTTTCATTCTTTCTCACCCGAACGTACGTAACGCCCTCGTTGAGATCGGACCACCCTACCTACCCGAGGTGAAAACTCAAACGCCCTCAGGGCCGGACGCTCGGTGTGACACCGAATCAAGAACTAGGTCTGGGTCTAATACCAGCCGTAACGGATGAGCGCTTGCTCATTTATTTAAAAGTTCAAGCTATTGGGTAATGCTATATACCCACCCATTTATACTCAATCACTTTTCTATCTAGATTCGACGTGAGGTAAATAACCCTTGTTACACTATCCATACAGATTAAGATACGGTTCCTGTAACAGCTATATCTTATTTCAACAATATATTATATACATTAAGATATGGTTGCTTCAGTATGCCTTGTTATGGTTGAGCCAAGACACTAGATCCAAATGCACAACAATTCAAGTGAGTGGAATGTGAGTGTCCCTGGGGTTCAATGAGGTCCTACATACCTTTTAGGATAAGTGGCATTATATATGTATATATAGATATGGATATAGGCATGTATGTGTATGAATAAAGCAAACAAACAGAACAGCATAAACTACAAAAACCATCCAAGATCACTGCGTTTAGTGGCATTATATTATACGACTATTCTGAATTCTGAAAGCTACCTGCATACAACAGAATGCAACTTAATTTCAATAAAGTTTTCTTATCCAGTGGGTGATCTGTGTGGTTGTGCCATGTTTGTTTCCACGTTGATTCACTTTCACCACTTTGGGGGGAAGTAACGAAGTCCCTAAGATCCATTTATTGATTAATGCACCAAGCAAGTCTTCCAAGTTATTTGTAGCTGATTCTGAAAATGCTGCAAGAGTAACGGCATAAAAAATACACCAAAGTTAAATTTGTGATCCGTGGAGAAACTCAGCCCAAGGGGTCAATTATACTGGAAAAAGAGCAGTCAATAATATTACCATAAGATGATTCCAAGCAATCAACTAATCAAGTAGACATTGTGATACATACACATGCAAAAAAAAAAAATGAAAAAGATATATCTTTTGATCCATAGTACTTCTGACCAGAAAAATAGCTTAACATGAGCACCGATAGGCCACTGGTACATTGATACAACACCTGACTTGACTCTGCCTTAAACTAGGATTAGGTTGATTAACTTACCAGGATTTTGTTCACTGAGCAGGTGAAAGGCATTGAAAATGATAATAGGAGACAAATAGGCAGGGCAAAATAGAGTGACAAATTTTCAGTTGGTCCTCATTTTGTGACTGAGGCTTCTGTACTGAAAACCTGCGGCGGTGGTGTTGAATTTTCAGATTTGGCTCCAGAAGATGGCCGATTCTCCAAATCAGTTTGCCGGACATTTTCAATCATTCTCACTACATCCAGCATTTTAGGTCTTTGGTCTGGCATCCTTACTACACATGACATTGCAATCTGCAACATCTCCACCATCTCTTCTTCTATATTTGGATACCTCATGAGCTCTACATCAAACACTTCCCCTGTCCACTCTTCTCGGACTACCGAATGAACCCACCTGACCAAGTGAATGACCTCATCACCACCCGTGGTGTGAACAGGTGACTTACCAGTGAGGAGCTCCAGTAAAAGCACGCCAAAGCTGTAGACATCAGAAGGCTGTGATGCTTTCCGGGTATCCGTCACTTCTGGGGCTCGGTAACCAGCAGCACGAGCAATAGGTAGAGCCAATGGGCTCATTATTGTTGAAAGACCAAGATCTGATACACAACCATGTTGGTGAGAGTTGAGGAAGATGTTTGAGGATTTGATGTTGCCATGGACAAGCTTCCCATTATTCTCCGCATGGATACGAGCTATACCTCTTGCTGCTCCAGTGGCTATTCTCAAACGGGTTTCCCAATCTAAGGGGATTCTCTCCTGCCCTCTTTTCCCTGCAACATTGCAAACGCATTAGAGGATAGCTGAAGCTCTACAGTCCGTAACCTCTTCACATAGGCAGATAGGCAGTAGGGAGTGTAGAGACTCGGGGAGCACATGTCTGTCCTGTGGCTCCTGCCTAGAAGATCATGAAGCTGGAAACTGGACACAGGTCTGCAACTTTTGTAAATGTTCTATAATTTACAACTCTCAAAACCAGCAAAAATTGCCTAACATTCCTATAAAATATTTAAAATAAACAGATATGCTGTGATGGCTTCTTCAAGAATAAACTAATTCACTTTTAAGATCACTCTGCAAATGTAGTATCTGGAATTACTGCTAGGATGACTGTTTATAAAGAAAGCACAGTTAACACGTGCAACACCAAAGTATCTAATAGCTGATTCCGATACATAAATTTCCAGCACAACATGGCAAAATCAAAACCAGGGCGAAAGAATGCACAAAATTTAGGGTGAAAGAAAGTCGGACAACAAAATGACAAGAATGTTAGAAAGACAACTTTCAGGGGAAAATAAAAGATGGGACTTCTGTTTTATGCTTTAATTATCTGATGGCTAGAAGCAGCTTAGAAGGATGTTAGTATCTGCTCATTCAGCATTAGGATGAGAAATATATATATATATATATATATACACACACAACCTAGGAGGAGAGTGTGGATATAGTAATAGAACTGCAAGGGCAGTTGAAATAGAAGACCTCAGTAACGACCTCTCTGAATATTTCAGTATGTGAAAGCCCTATTTGTGATTCAATATGCCAAAGAATAAAAAGGAGAATTTGTAGACCATCCTTTTCTTATCCTTGATTCTATCTGTCAAATTCCATGGTCAAACTAATTGTCAAAGCCTGAAAGGGCCACAAAGACCACCACTCAGTGTTTGAACATTAGTTACCACAGCCCTCTACCTAGAAAGAATCCACTCATCAGGGCCTTAGGATAAAGCAGAAAGTTAGATTTATCCATGTTGGTCCCTCACAAAACCCATCAATTCAACTGCTCTACTCAACTGAAAGACTGTTTCGCAAGTCCAAATTCAAAATAAAGGTAGAAATTTAGTGACTACTACAGTCGTACACAATTTAGTTAACTTCAAGTTCAATAAAGTTAGATATTCTATAACTTTATCCCAAGTTCATGATGGTTTAATTTCACATACTTTCTTCTATCACATCATACAGAAACCCAGCAAATCTAAGAAATACCATAATGATCTGATAAATCAAAATTCACTATGAATAAAAACGAAAGCAGTTGGTATTTTGATTTTAGAGTAGATAATAGAGAAAAGTGAAGAGTTGCATAAAATTCGGAAATTGCAGATATATAATAAAGAAACATACCATGTAACATTGCAGCAACGCTCCCCTGACTGTAATAATCATACACCATCAGCTTCTCATCCTTGGAATAGTAATATGCCCTTAGCTCAATCACATTCTCATGCTTGATACTCCCAACCACCTCCATTTGCTGCTCGAACTCTCGCCTTCCGACACTCACCTCCTTCAACCTCTTCACCACCACGGTGGTGGCATCCTCTAGAATTGCCTTATAAGCAATACCAAAGGTGCCCTTTCCCAGTACCTCGGCAGAAGCCCTCAACAAATCCTCTAAATCAAATGCATAGTTACAACCCTCAAAGAAAACTAATTTATTATTGGCCTCTTGACTTCGAGCAATCGCTTTCTCCGGTGACATATCTCCTTTCTCAAAATTCCTGGGAAACCCATGTTCGATTCTTCTTTTTAAGAAGCAAACAAGTAACAGAAAAGCAAACCCAATCAGCCCCAGAACACAACCAGCAATTATAATTCCCAGTAACGCCCTTTCACTTAGTTTTCTGAGTGTCTTAGGTTTTGGATTTGTTTGATTAAAGGGCGAAAACACAGGATATCCAGAAATGGAAGAATTTAGTGCTAGTGAAACATTGTTACCCGTGAATACTGAACTCGGAAACTTTCGAAGTGATTTGGGTACAATGCCAGTGAGATTATTATTGGATAAGTTCAGTTGATGCAGATTTGGCAAGTAAAGGTTTGGGATTTCACCAGAAAGCGAGTTATTAGCAAGATTCAAAGCTGCGAGCTGAGTCAAATTCGAAATGGAGTAAGGAATACTACCATTGAATGCATTGTTTGACAAATTAACAATTGTAAGATTCTTCCAAACAGAAAAATTCACAGGCAAAGGACCTGAAAATTTGTTGAACTGAAGATAGAGAAATGACAAGTTCTTGAGATTGTAGAGATCAGAAGGGAAAGTCCCATTGATACCATTGGATCTGAGGCTCAAGATCTGCAATGCCGAGAGGCGGCTCAGAGGTTTCGCCGGAATGGGGCCGTGAAATCCGACGCCAGGCAGTCGGACGGCGATTACTCGAGACCCATCTTCACTACATGTCACTCCAGTCCAGTTGTTGCACACAGAAGATTGCTCGCTCCAATTGAGATAGCGAGAGTGAGGAAGATTGCTCGCAAAATCAAGCAATGCTCGCTTATCTTCTTCAACCAAAGTCGCTGTTCCTCCCCAGAATAGCAAACCCACCAAGAAAATCAAAGAGAAACTGTACGACCCTTCCATTTTAACACTCTAGAGTTGAAAAATCTATCAATTCAAGCACTCTTAACCCCACATCTATACTTTCACACCACTAAAAGAGTAAGAATATATATATATATATACATACATACATATATAGAGAGAGAAATGAAAGTGAAGAAGGAAAATCAAATTCCAAGACTAATGTCGAAAAAAGTAGAGCGGGTGTCTGAAAATAGGCATAGAAAATGGAGGTGGGAGAGGATTTGAAATGGGAATAGTAGTCAAAAGGGTGTTATTTTACAGATGGGTTTTGATCAGAATCCGAGCTTTTCTTTTTGTTGTTTGTTCTTTAACTTTTTGGATGAGTCCCAAACCCAAGAGAGTTTTTCTGAGATAAAGCAAAGAAAAGAAGAAGTTACTTCTTCCTAGAGAGCTGACCCCGAGCTGAGCTGAGCTAATAAGTGGTGGAAAGAAAGAGATCCGAGTCGTTAGGAGTCGAACAACTCGGTCGAGTGAGTCAATTCTCAAGCGACATTCGATGAGTTGATTAGAGTTTAGATAATCAAATATACATTAGTATATAAATATATAATAATAGATGGAAATGATGGAGTGAGAGAGAGAGAGAGAGAGAGAGAGAGAGTAGAGACAATAGTTGATGTAGATTTTCAACTTGGAGACAGAAGGTGAAGATTGGTGCCGATGTAGCACCGGCGAAAAGAGAAAAGTGAGGAGGCTGTTGACGGAAAACCGCGACTACGACTTACTGTTTTGGTGGGTTGGTTAAGATGCGATTTATGTGGAGTACTGCCACGCGTGATGATGTGGGACCGCCATTTTTTGATTTCATCATCCTCTTCTGTCGTTTAATTATCAAAGTTAATCCTTCGGTGGGACCTACTTTGTATAATGTAAATTCCACTTTTACCTTTTAACCACGAATCAGTCCTGTTCAGTTTAGTAAAATCATTAGTATAATTTTACTTTTACCTTCTAATAACTATGGAGTAAGCCCTATTCGGTTTCCCAGTGAAAACATTATATACACTGCTTTTTGAAAGAGTTTTATTTTTATTTTTGTGGTCAATGGTTTTGTATTAGTAAATATTCCGTATCTTTAATTTAAAGTTATGCGTTTTGTAATTTGTTAGTATGTATGTTCATTTTAATTAATATTTAATTTTCTATTAAATATTCAATTTTTTGTCAAATTTTTAATTTTAATTTAAAAAAGTTAAAAAATGGAAGATTGAATGGATTAAAACTTATATGAAAAATATGTCTCAAAAGTAATTTAAATTGAATATGACGTATTCGTCTGTTATCTTTTCTTCTTGTGATTTTCAAGAAATTGGAGGGCAAAACTAGCACTGAGATTTACCACTTACTTTTTTTGTCTCAATGATGACAAAAAGTCATCCCTTTGACTTCTTAATTTTAAATAGAAGTTACTTTTAAATAAAATTTCTTGAAGGGCAAAAGTGATGTTTTCTTTATTTCTAAGATTTATCAAGGAAAATGAATGAGGTTACGGATCCAACATTTACAATTCAACCTGAAATTACTTTCAAATTTTTATTTTTTATCGTCTCAAAATAAATGTTTTATTTAAGAAGTCAAAATAATATTTTTTTATAACATTACTAATTTAACTTCTATAAATTGAATTTATAAAAAAAATGTCATCACATCTTGTTATTGTAAATATATTTAGTAATTCATTCACAATCAATATAATTAAAAAATATTAAAATTAATCTTCTTAAAAAATTAAATTCTCAAAAAAGAATGTGAGACAGTAAATTATTATGAAGTATTGCATGTAGACTAATGGAATGAGTTACTCTAATATTTCACATTTGCAATATTATTTGTGTATTATACACCTAAATATGAAGATGTTGAGATAGAAAACGATTAGGAATATTATCTGTTAGCATCCAAAATAAAAAGTGTAAAGAAAATATTAGTTTTCATATAAGATGAGAGATAGTGAAACAAACCACAACCTGAAATGAAATAATTAAATATTACATTAAAGATTTAAATAGTAAAACAAACATGACGAATAATAAAATATAATAAAAAAAGAGAATTCATGTATTTATTCATTAAAATAAGTAAAAACCAAAACAATAATGTTTAAAACTTTACCTCTTTCTTTGATTTTATTTTATCAGTTCCAATGTTATCTTCCTTTCAAAAACATATGTATGTACATATAGACGCACAAGCACAAATTCAGAGATTTAAAACTAAAAGATAAAGTGTTGGGTGAAGTAGAGGACCATAAATTTTGTTGAAAAGGAGGGCCATTGAAGTTTTTTCATAGTTTTAGTAGGAATATTTTTAAAATTTTACAAAATTTATAGGTAAATAATGCAAATAAATAAAATTCGGTGGAGGCGGCTGCCCTCGCACCACAGAGGTCCGTGCCTAATCACGGGCGATAGGAATTTTATTTTATTTTTTTATTTTTTATTTTTGTAATTTTAGCAGGACAATTGCACCCACTGAAATATATACATATTCATGCATGTAGACGCATTTTACAAGCATTTTTGCAATATCAGCCAAGGTGACAATTTATTTATTTTTAATTGCCGTTTATGAGAATTTACAGCACTCCATCACGAAGTCTACTGCATTAAACTCATCATCCTCCTTGTCTACTTACTCAATTAATAAGAGGTACCATGTTAATAAATTCAATTGATGATCAGAAAAAATATATTATTGGCTTCATTGATGAGGGTTAAAAATATTGGCGCAAGTAGTAATGTTGGTTGGTAATACTTATTGTCAAGAAAAGACTTCAAAAAAAGCATAGACCATCCCTAATTTAGTGCCATGGATGATGATGAAGGCTTTGGCTTTTAAATTATGGGAAATTGACAACTGTCTCAATTCTCAAACCACCCTCATGACTCTTACTTATGCAACTACCCTTTTTGGAGCATCCAATTATTATTGTACGTAATAGTAGAAAAAAGATTGTTTGCAATTGGACTTTATTCTAATCATCCTATAATCCACACATATACCACCTTTGTGCACATGTTATCCACCAAAAGACCATTTGGTTGTTTGTCTTGATTTAAGACTATCGATGAGATGAAACATTGATATAGGGTATATTGACCTATTGACAAGAAATCCTATGTGACTATCTAATATATATATATATATGTGTGTGTCATATATGTGTGTGTGGACATGAGTTGATAAATAAATTTGGCTACATTTGTTTAGACAGGGAATATAAAATATATAGCCTCTAGTAAGGTTTGGGCTCTGAGGGCCACTAAAAATAAGCTAGAAAGGTGCATTGTACCAAATGTTTTATTTTAAGTTTGTTTTATATTTAATTAATTTATTGAGAACATGTGACTATTGATTTTTTGGTATTATTTGAGTTAGTTTGAGCATTAATGGATGAATTCACTGGTGGGGATTGTTCTTGTTGCCTTATTTATGTCTTCGATCAATATTCGGTATGTTTAACTTTAAACCATTGTTTCTATCATCATTCTTCACAAAGGAGCTTGCAAGCTAGTATTAAAGAAAACCAACCTCCCACCCCTCTCACGAAACAAACCTTTATTACAAATGCAACTCCCACTGCCACCGAAAAAGAAAAAGGGACTTCGTCATTTATAGTCCCCAACTTCTCGCCTAAAGGTTTAGATAAGTTATTTGGAAGTACCGATAATATAGTATCAAGATTAATTTAAATGCGAAACATTCTGCTTTCGTGAGTGGCTCAGTCATGTTTCATTATGAGTTTAATTTCTAAATAATTTTGATTTTCTCGATTCCGATCTAAATTGAATTTTCTATTAATTTTTAATCAGTCGCTGCCCAGAATTCTATCCTGTAAGAGACAACACTTGTGATCTAAAAATATTACACATTGAACAATTCATTTTTTATGGTCTGCTGTTCTTCTTTATGATTTTTTTCAGCAACCAAACAAGTGAAGAATAGAGAGAGAAGCCACAACGAAAATCGATTAGGATAACTTTTTTAAGTTTCCTTTGAATCAAACAGAATTTGACTTTTTCCCGGCAGTAGACATTTTTTCCCCTTTGTAAAACGAAAAGTAATCATGTTGTAACCAAAGTTAATTGTCTAATCTGGTCGCGTGCATCAAGAAATTTCAAATTGAAAGGGATTGGGAGTTGAAATTGTTCAATCTTGGGAATGCAAATAATTTTGGTGAAGGTGGTGTCTAACACTGTATTTATTGCCTAAGCTCCAATTCATGTTGAACTTGGCCTTTAACTTGTTTCATTATGGACTCAGTGAAGATGGACAATTTGAACCGACGACTATATATATTATTTATGGGATTCAGAGAACTTGAAGCTGAGAATTTAGCTTTGCTGACTAAGATGGGGCTGGCGATTTCACCTCCGACAGTGTTGACGGGAACTGTCAGACGGTCTTTCGCCATTGGTGAGAGCAGTGATTGAAGATGTCAAGTCTGTCTTTGTGTGGTAAAACGGCAACAAGGTTTCATTGTCATGAATTCCTTGGTTTAGAGCGGCTCGTGGAGTGGCCCATGCTGTTGCGCAATGTGCTCCCACGTATTCGAGACCTTGTTTGTGTATCCTTAATTTAGAGTATCTCTAATACAAAATGTTATATTTTTATGTTAAATTTATATTTTGAGGGGAGTTACAGTGTCAAAATAATATATTTCTGTAATTCTATTTCAATGGTGCATTTCATTCAAAATGTTATTTTTTTTACACAATAACCATTTCATATTTGAGAGCCCATTAGAATGCCTTATTTTTATTTTAACAATTTTTGACAATCTCAAAATATGAGAGATCTTTTGAGAGAGCTCATTATAGTGCCTATTTTTATCCACTTGTTATATTTTGATTTTGAGAAGTTATTTGAGAGCTGCTATATTTGATAATACATTTGAAAATCTCAAAATATGATAAATCTTTTAACAGGCCACTGGAGTGCCTTATTTTTATCCACCTGCTATATTTTGAGTTTGAGAATTCATTTGAGAGGCTATTGGAAATGCTCTGCCTTCTTGAGATTCGCCAAACATTGGCATTGGCTAATGATAACCCTGATAATGTCTCTTGTATCTCTGTTTCGTTTAATGCATAGTTCTCTTCTCAAGATATTAGTTAATCCAATCGTGTCTTTATAAAACATGTGCTTTGATTGATTTTGTGGAGTTAAAAGTTGTTGATGGTAGTTCGTGATGATGCGAGGAGATCATTCCACGTCTGTCAAGGGTGCTGAGATCAGAAGTTGAGTGGAGTTCCAAGCTAGCACAAGGGATTCTCTCTACGGAGATTGAGAGAGAGAATACAGATTTGTTTAACACCCTATGGTAGCTCGAGCTCTAGAAGACCATTCTCTATGGTTATGGTTGTGCCTCTCTATTTTTTTAACCTCCTCAAATGGTGAGAGTTAAGCTCTATTTATACTACTTTCATTTAGGTAAGGACCCTTGGTCATGAGGGTTAACTCCCTCTTTATCCGATGGTCGCTTTACCTAGGTAAGGACCCTTAGTAACGAGGGTACCTCAGTCTTTATCCAATGGTAATTTTGTCAGATATACTTAATGTATTATGTGGTCTCTATTACTCGAGCTCAATTACTGGATATTAAACATTCTCTCCTCCTTGTATAGACCTCGAGGTGAGGCAAATCATTGGAACTCAACTACATAACCACTGATACTCAGATTCCCGCAACCGAAGATAAGGAAA